CAGTTCTCCTCTGCAGAGGAAGGCTAACAGGTTCCTTTATTCTATGGTGGTCCAATCCTAAAATAATTTGCAGCATATATTTTCCCTCTTTCATAGCATCCATCCCATACTGGGCATTTTAGCATCTAGAGGGAGGCTGCTTTCATTATGACTCAATAAAATTAGCAGAAACCGAAGAACCTCCTAAGCAGACTCTACAAGTGGTTTATCTAGTCTAATATCCTCCCTAACAGTAGCCTGTACTGCCTGCTTCAGAAGGTTTTTTGAAAGAACTCTGCATTAGATCTCTACAAAGAACTAGTCCTTCTGAAGAGTTTCCCACAGACCCAGAGGTTGCCAAAGAGCATCACAGTTTATGTTCATTTCAAAACTTTAACTTCTTTATAAACATTCCCTGCTCCGATGCTCTCCATTTTCTACTGCGATTTCTACCATGGCCAGCAGTTAGCTGAATGCTACTAAGCATCTTGTAGCAATGAAATCCACATACAGACTTCGAGTGAGTATCAAAGTATTTTCTCTTGTTGCCTTACAGTTTGACACCTTTTAACTTAGTTCCAGTGTTGCATGAGAAGATGAGGAGCCTGGTTTAACTTCCTCACATTATTGTTTGTTTTTCTATCCTACTTATTTTTAAAGTACTTGATTTCATTTTTCTGCTCTCTCCACACAAAAGTGATTCTGTGTTTGATCATTCTTGATGTCCATGTCTGAACTCTCCAACTCCATTTCTGATAACTTTTGTAAGACAGGTGAACATAATTTAGCTTTCTTAACCAAGCAGGGATGGATAATTGAATCACACAGCAGCGTTGTAGTAGTTCAGTTTTACTCTCTTCCTTTCCTTAGTTTAAAATTTGAGGCCACTGCTGTGCGCTGAATAGAGGTTTTAACTGAACCTGTCACAATGATGATCTCGTCTCTCACTTTCTTCCTTCTTTTCATTCTTTCTCTTCTCCTCCTCCCCCTCAAAGAAATGCTAACAAGGGATATAGCAATGCACCTAGAACAGAATATAATATATATTATGAATGGCTGATTTTCATTAACAAATGCTGATTTAAACCGGAATTATTTCCCTTTTGTCTTTGCATATTCCTGCTTCTATTACCAAATGTTTATTGAACGTGAGCTCATAATTCGTAATTGTGTTGTCTGCTCCCTACTTGAGGTTAAAATTTGGTGAATCCTGGTGCTTTAGCCTCTATTATCCAAATCCATTATGGATTATCCATATGATGGATAATGGTTAAAATAGAACATCTTAATGTGTCTCCCATTAATGGAGATTCATTAATCTCCAGCAATTCATTAGCAAAATGTTTCTGTCACTTGGCAATAAAGAATTTTAAAACTCCATAATTTGTAATTCTGTTTAAAAATACATAATCTTACACTGTTGTAACAGTGGTGCATCAGGCCAAACATTAGCTTGAGATGTTAACTATTCTTTGAATAGTGAAGATGTATAAAATATGCAAACCAAAGAGAAATGATGAAAATTAAATGCATATGGGGAAATATAACCAATGTAACATTGATTTAATGGTTCTAGTTTACCTAGAATTGTTCTTACAATTATGTAGTTGGGAAAGCTTTCATTTAGCATTGCGGGAGACGCATCTCGGAATAAATGAGACCCCCCCAGAAAAAGTATTATGTTTGGTACAGTAGCTGGCAAATCGTGATGTACATGTTGCACTAGTGGTTCAAACCATTTTCATGAAAGAACCCATGGGTTTGATGGAAACACTTGTAAATTTTATGTTATCTGTGAGGGAAGGTTCTCTGATGATACAGACCTTGTAATCCCAGCACAAAGAATATAAATAGAAGATGAACCAGGAAACCCAGAAGCAGTAAAGAAATGAATGAAATTCACTATCATTCAATTTGGCCCTGGGAGTCATTTAGATATACTTAAACCTTGTAGCACAATTGTTAAGTGATTCTGGGGTCACATGGGAGCTGTTTGCTTAGGGAGAAGGGTTAAGATAGGATAAAACTGAACATTTTTCAAGAATAACTGTGAATTGGACTGCCTATTGGCTCTTTAGGATAGTTTAGGAAGCCTTTGTTGTCTTATCCAGTGAAGTTTCCCTTAAAGGGAAAGATGAAGCTGTTGCAGGCAGCAGAGAGACAGCAAAGTTAGATATTTTTAATTTTCATTATTAAACCTTTAAGTTATTCCTGGATCTGAGATGAGAATCAGTCCAAGGTAAATAGCAGCAAGAATGTCAATATCGAATTAATTTAAAAAACAGTTTCAAACAAACCATAAGGCAAGGTTTGTAAGGGGAGGCGATATCTTTTATTAGACAAACGAGTATAGCTGGTTAAAAAAAAAAAAAAAAGGCTTTAAGGCTCTTCTGCACAGATAAGCTGAGTAAGTTCAAGGGAATTTTTTCCCTTGCACATTAGTATGCTACTCAGCTCATGCCACTGATAGCCCTAGAGTGCTGGCAGCTGGCGGGCCTTCTGTGCATAGAGATACTTTGCCTTTCAGCCCTCAATACGGGATGCATTTTTTAACTGAATTTCTCTAGCAATTTGAAAGCTCTGAAGGATGCAGATTAGCATGGAGTCTACAAATGGACTGGCTCACCTGCCCTCAAAAGCGTTTTCCTGCGTTGTAATGGGCTTTTTTGGATACCGTAAGCTGATTCTGTTGCCACCCCACTCCCCCATCTTTTCCTAGTCAGACACGTTCTGGGTGACCTATGCCGAAGGAGTGTGCTACTACTGGAAATTTTCCAGAAAATTCTCAAATGATGCCCCCCCCCCCCCCCCCCCACCCCTAGCACTAACCAGAGAAAGTAGCATGATCCTGAATGTAGTGGCTAAATACTTCCCTAAGGTTTATAGACAGGTAGTTACTAAGGAGGCCTACAGCACAGTAAATAGAAGACTAACATTTTGTTTTAAGGCAGTAGAGTAGTGACCCCATATCACTTCAGAAACAGGTAGTTTCTTACTAGGACAGGAAAGGGCTGAAACCAGGGTCAGGCATCAATATTAAATTTTTCATTTTCCCTACCCTATTTCTAAGCATAGCTTCCTGAATAGCATGCTCATACAGAAAATTATGTTTTTGAATTGGCATTTTAATTTATCAGACAAGTATAAACGTCTAAGTGTTGGCTTAGTTTGAGAACAGTGTTCTTTGGGACGGGGATTTGCAATTTAAAACAGAACCTATCTTTTTCTTAAAGTATCTGAACAGAACCGCTGGTACTTGTTAAGCTGCTTCTACTCTTAAGTTGTGTAAGTTGCTTTGGGACTGCAAAGTATGTGTTAACATGCTGATATAGGAATCTTTAACTTTGTACCGGGTGCACTAAGAAAGAATCTAGTCTGAAATATGTCTTTTATAGAGCCACAGTAGTGACTTTTCCAGAAAGAAAAGGTCATGTTGTTATCCATAAAGAACTACATTTTGTGGAGACCATAAGATAGTACCCATAATAATGTCAAGATATGGACTATTATGCTTTTTTCACATGATCTCTTTCCTTTTATTCCACAACATGGAAACCTTCACAGATCTTCATTAGAGTGAGCTGAGATGAGCACATTATCTCTGAGGTATCTATCTTATTCAAGTTCCCCCTTGGAAGAAGCCATCTGCCTACAGGTGTGTAGGTCAAAAATAAAAATGGATGTGAATGAGAGATGAGCATATCTCTCCCTTTCCCACTTTCATAAGGATTAAATAGGCAGCTTAATACCTGCACAGTCAATATTACCTTCATTGTACTCTCCGGGTATGGGGGGTAGCTCTGGAGAAAGGTAGCAGGTGCAGAGACTTTGGCAGGATAATTGTCCCTCAGTGAATCGTAATCTACTTTAAACATTTCTTATTACTGTTTTTCCCTTTAATGCCCTGCTATTCTGTCTCTGAATACATATATTTTACTAAATTTAGATTCCTTTACATTTATGAGTGAGCAAAATTCAGGAGTGAATTGTAAGGGGAGGATGCAAACCACATCTTAGTGGGTGAATGAATATCTAAAGGGAATTAATTTAATTTAAACTGGTGTGGTTTGCCTGCTGATTCATCGTGTTCTTCTGACCCAAGATAGCTACAGAAATCCTGTTTTGGAGATTATCCACTGAATAACTGCATAAGTAGCAATTTTTAATTCAATTTAAAAATAACTCTTTGGCTTAGAAAGTAATAAAGAACATAACTACTCCGATGCAGTTTAAGAATTATAGCACTTTCCCCACACCCACACAGGTAATTAAACATTTTCTGGAGAACTTTTCCAGTCTGTATCTAAGCCAACATTAAATGAGTATTACAGACACCCATTAAATTGATGAAGATTTAGGATTTATACACAAATAATACAAAAACTGGGCTTTTGGTTGTTCTGGAGATTTTTATACACAAGGGTCTGCTCTCTCTCCCATCCCTGTTTGATATCTTTTGCCATACTCCAAATAAGTATGAGTACTTACGTGTCACCTTAGAATATGTCAATCCTTAAACACTCACCAAATTCAAGTTTTCTTGATGCACGCTTGGGAACTGAGGAGGCCCAGCGCCTCACAGGAAGAATTTAAGACTACATCCCAATAAAGATTTAAGCACTTCAAACAGAATCCAGGTGTCTAAATTCTGCCTAAATCCAAAACTGAAAATTGTGACCTGAAAACCCTGTCAGTAGTCTCTTAACCTTAGTGGCACCTAAGAGCCCTGTCTGGCTTTCTGTTCGGTATGGTAGTTTTTCCTGTGAGTTTAGGCCGTGGGTAGAAAAGGCGCAGTCTGGTCTGCCAGCCCTGCTCCGTTCCTTCACTAAGTATTTGTAGAATATATACAAAAAGATAGATACGGTCAAAAAATGTTTTATGTAATATATTCTGGATCTAGAATAATATAGGCACCAACCTGCAGTGCCCCCCGAGAGATTTTATTCACCATATGAAAGACCCTATATCATACTGCAAGACTTCTTCTACCATTGCTGTAGATGACTCAGATTTACTCTTGTCTTCGTAGTTCCTATGGGCTAGCACCAGCTGGTTCTTCATTCCCTTCTCGGAGTATGGGTTTTGTGGATTCCTATTTCCAGGTACCCTATTTTATGCTTTATTTAGGGAACCTTCATCCTTGGTATGAGAAGTGTATAGAATACAAAAGTACTGATATGGAAGGATTTTCTTAAATGCATTCTGTAGGTAGTTTCCTAACTTCCATTGATGTAAATGTGTAGTAGGTTCCCTAACATCTTTGCAAGCTTTAGGTCCTGGTGCCTTGCAAACAGTGGAGCTCGTAATGTCACTGAAGGTTTGAGAAAAGAAGAAAGCTTCCATTTACACAGAAATAACTGAAGGATCAAGAAAAAGCTTAAAGGAATTGTAGAAAAAGTATGTGATGGAGTTACTGCAACTAAGTTCTGTATTGCGGAAGCAAGTTTTGTGATCAATATGGCAGCTTATTCCTAAACACCACCAACACCATAAGAGCCATTCTTTCCATTGCTAAATCCATAAACAAATGCACTCTTTCTAAGTCTGTAAATAACTTGTTGTCTAGCTCACTGAAGATACCAACAGCAGGGTCACCCTAATAAGGAAAAAACATATTTTTATTCCTTCCCATGTAGTTTTTCTAGTTTAGTCAACTTAATATTCCTCCTTCGAGTTGTTCTAATTTGTTTTTGCAGATAATTTGTTACTGAACACTTCTTCAATCTCTATTTTATTTACTCTGAAAAGAGACAAGACACTGAAACTTGCTCCAAGATGCTGAGATGAAGAAACTGAATTGGAAGTTTGAATGCATTTTTAAGTAATTTAATTTAGTGCAATGTCTATCCCTCGCTGAAACCCAGCTCCTGAAGAGTAAATGAAGCTAGGGTGTTATGCTGTACTAACATGATCACGGTGCTTTCTGTGGCATCTTTCTTTACCTTTCCTTACGTCATGTAGGCAGACTAGAAGAGATGCAGTTACTAAAATTGTAACCTGTTCTAGGCAATAGCAATTACTTTGTTATGTCTTTGCACAGTCATTGTGCTCTATGGCTAGACTACCAGATGCACAGTGAGTAAGAATGGGATGTGGCAAATAAAGTATAATCTGACAAACAGATGGGCTGTTTTGTAAACACTAGTGGACTCAGAAATAAGGTAATAATCCTTCTACCACCACAGCGAGTGGAAGTTGTGTCATTCTACAGTGGGAACAGGCCTAAGACATAAAGTTTGGTAGGAGACTTGTGACTGCATGGCAGAAGCTGGAAAAATTGGGAAGCTAAAAGATGCTATAGAAAAATCTGTAAATTGAATATTCTGTTGTTGTTGTATACTGGCTATACTTAAGTAGTGTTACTAAAAGGGAGCCATAATGCATGGAGCTGCAGGGTAATCTACAGGTGAGAGTGAAAAGATGGCTGTGATTGGTTATGTTCGAAGATATGTGTGAATGGGGAATTATAGTTGGATCAGTAACGGGAGATTTGCAGTTGCACAATGTTTACATGAGTGCCTTTCCTTGAAATTGGCTTGTTACTTTTTTTCTTCCACATTTGAAACTTATCTTCTGTTTGCTCCTACCAGGATTTAACATTGGATGAGTTTTCAGAAGTGATTTGGGGGGTCTCTAATTCTTGGGGGTCCATCCAGACATTTCAGAGGAGTCTAGTAGTCACAGGTAAGGGAATATTACTTCACGTTTTTGCCAAGCAGGCCCTGTTAATGTACTGGAAGAAAAAACATCCACTTGGAACATTACAAGAAAATTTGAACTGTTTGGCCAGGATTACAACCTGATTCTTTTACCAATGCAAGAAAGGGCAGCTGTCTGGGAAATATTTCATTATCTAGACCATGCTTTGATCTTAAAAGGAAGAATATTTTTCTAAATAAAAAAAGGAATTCCACAGCTATCTCAGAGCTGTCAGTGCATTTAAATAACATGTGGCATTCTGAAGACATTTGGAAAGTGAATATTTCCTTTCAAGGTCATAAAAAGATTTTCCATGAGTGAAAGCAGATTGGATTTCCTTCAAGGTTCACAGAAAGAATATAACTCCCTAGAAACACTCAGTTTTTGAAGGTGTCTTTTAGAAATATCTCCTAATATAAATTACATAAATGCAAATACACATCATCCTAGAAGGACAGTGTAGAGTAATTGGCGTCTCAAACTCTATTTTTCTAGTGAGCTTTTCTTGAACTGAATGAATACTGAAGAATGGAACGTCAAACCATCTGTAGTCATGGTGCAGCAGTTGAAACAAGACTACCATATTGCTGGTAATAAGCTTTCACAACCTTCTAAAGGAACAGAAATTTTTCCCAAGGAATGTTCTTTAACTTTTCTGGAGTAACTTACTCTTAAGACTTATTTATAGAAAACTCTAAATTATGTTAGAGGACTGTTTTGTTTCTTTAAAGGAATCCAGTCTAGTTTTTTAATATTGTTTTTGAGCTTGAAACATTTTATCAGAAACATTTGTGGCAACTTTAGAGATAGAACATCCTGTTTCATCTGCAGCTGATATTGCACCTGTGGTTCTGTATTTTAGCTACAAGCACCTCTTTTTTCTCCTCTCAGTATATCACATAAAGGTCTGGCCCTTCCTGTGTAGATTAGGAAATCTCAGGAAAGGGCCAGCCATTTTAGTTCTTGCATGGATATAAAAGAACTGGAGAAACAGTCGAGTCTGCCAAGATGCCCTTGTCATATAGCAAAGATTGGAAAACCTTAATTACAAATTCTGATATCTGAGTTGACAAAGTATGGACATCATAAAGCAATGCTAATGGCACATAGTTCTCTTCGAATGGCCAGTACTTTTTGTAAGGACAGATTAATTTCTTTCAGATGGAAGGCTTACAGCTTTTAGTTTTTCCTGTTACACTGGAGAGTCAGGTACTTTTATAGGACTGATTCCTAATATTCATATTCCTATGTATACTAAAAATAGAAAAAGCAGGTGAAAATTTTTGAACCAGCTCTTACTATAAGGGTTGAGTTTCCTTTCCAAAAGACTTAAATAATAAAATATGTCATGGAGCTGAAATAGTACTGTGCAGAAAATATCATATTTGTAATGCTAGCACTGTTCCAGCAGATTAGCAGAAGTGATTTTTTTCTAAGCATTTTAGCCATATTCACTTTAGAAATGCTTAGATTTGCTAGACAGCTGAGGCTGAAGTGGCTTCTTAGAAGTATTTGGATAGAGCAAACAAGAATTTTGATTTGCAAGTGCTAAGGTCGTGAGTCGGTTGAAAATTTCATTACTTTGAATGACTTAAAAGGATATGTTGTTCTTTTATTGGATGTTAAGCAGTATTCATCACTACAGTGTTTATATTTGTAAATTATTTTGCATAGTGGCTATATTTATAGCATACATTGGAATGACTTGCTGACAACTGCATGAAAGCTATCTGGGAGGAGGAGGTCTGACTGAACTTGCCTGCTTTTGGCGCTTGCAGAGATCTTCCAGTGATACAGACCAGCCCCTCTACTTGGGACGGTGAAACAGACTTTGGTGCTGATAACATTTTTTTTTTTTAATTAATTTCTTTTACCAAAGGTTGCAACGTTTGGGTATCTATGTTAGCACGTTAGGAAAAAGAGCTTTTTGTGCTATGTTATGTGAGAAACATTTCTAAGGGTGTAGTCAAATTTAAATAGCTTTTTTAATTTTGCAAAGTTGATTTAAAAAACTTTTTTAGAATGAGATTTCTCTTTGTAGCGGAGAGAGAGGATTCATGTATTTTTATAATTTCTCCCTTAAGATTGTCTGACAGATTCCAGTTACAGTGATTTATTTGTCTGATACTTTTGTATAGCTGTGTTTGAGCTAACTGTGAGGAATAATCAAATTCTCTATAGTTATATGTGCCAACATTTGAGATACACATATAGTGGAAGTGTGCACAGGCTCCATTTTTACCTGCTGCAGTACCAATGACAGCACAGATTGCTAATTTATATAATGTCACAGATCTTAATTAATCAATAACTGATTGAGGTTTCTCATGCCTTTCTTTACACTCAGTTTTCACTGTATCACCCTAATAGATGATTAGGATACAAGAACCAGTTCAGTTCATCTTGCCTTCCCCATTAGTTCGTTCTCTCCCTCGGGTTTTAGAGGCCTGTTTCACAACCAGCAGAGAATTTTCAAATTCTTTTGTCTTCTTGGAGACGGGACTGGGACCTTTTTCTTGCCAAAGAAAAGGTTATCCCAGCCTACTTGTTCAATCTGTTCTTGCTATAGGGATTTCAGTTTGCCAAGATTGTGGCAAAATAAAAGTTCCAGTCATTCATCCTGCTAAGCACTGATTTAGTTCTACTTTTGCTAAGATTGACACGCTCAGGTTGGCGAGTTCCCTTGTTCCAGGTCTGCTCTTGTGCTTGATTTTTCATAGTATCATTGCACAATTTTGTCGACAGGTTGCTTGCTACTGGTAATGCAGTGGGCGTGCTTCAAATCTAAAGTGTACTCCTAGGGAGACAGGACAAGATATGGCCCAAAGTGAAAGTCAGCAAGCTCCTAAAAGAGTTTGAGCAGCAAGTCAGCTAGAAATGCTAAGAATGCACGTTGGCTCTGCCAGCTTAATTCAAAGCTAGACTGGAGCTAGATCACAAACCTGAGGCAAATATTTACCCTCGTAATAGACATCATATGTTATGGCTCTTCTAAGTATAACAAAGAAAGCTAGATTTTGGCAAAAAGATAACTAAACCAGAGATGATCAGCCAAAGACAGACAAAAGAGATAAGACATCTACCTTTCAGTCTCTGTGATCATAAAGACTCCTATGAAATGAGTCTATGAATATTATTACATCCCTTTTTTTTTCCCGAAGTTCAACAATTGACTGTCTTGGCTATAAGGAATAACGGAAAATGAAAATGATTTAACAATTTGGAATCTTTTGCCAAGATTAAGGTTGTGCATGTACAAAACTGGCCCCTTTGTAAAGATCAGGGTAGAAATCTTCAATTACAGAGTTAAAGGTACAAGGGCTTTCATAGCTTATTTGCCACAATGCACATGCCCTTCTCCTGCTGACTTCAGTAGGGCATGTGTGCATACAGGCATATATAGGCATTTGAGGAGAGCTTGTCTCTGTTTTGTTTGAACTAATATAACAGAATTAAAGAAAGAGTATATAGCAACTTTGATTTTCTTATACCTATCCATTTATTCAGGAAGTTTTATACAGAACATCTAGATTGTCTTATAAGTATTTTTCATATGTGGGTAGTTCCATAAATATTAGCACATATGCAAATCAGATAATGAATCATATCTTGGCAATGAACAAGTTGTTTGACTAATGTACAGGCCAGAATAAAAATTCTGATTGTGCTGTTGCAGTTAACATAAAGAACTGATACTTGCAGGGAAATCAAATCTATGCTAAGCTTTCTGTACTTATCCTGGCCAAGGAGGGAGACCAAGGAGGGAGTTAATATCACCTTGTACAGTTATTCCACTGCAGAATGGTCATAATTTGGCTAAAAAAGAAAAAGCAAGGAGGGACATTGTAAAAACAGCTTTTTTTAAAGTGAAGAGAAACCAGGGTGAGGTCTATTCTTAGAGGTACATTGTATCTTGATGAAAAAGCTGGCAGCAAAGTTTTTTCCTGAGCTATGTCAAGGAAATGGGTGGATTTTCAGTGCTGTCAGAAATGCAAAGCCAGGTTTTTTAGCTCATGGAAATGACAGTTAAAAATAAAACTGCAGAGAAAGTTGATTGTTTACTTTTGTTTACCATTTTTTAATGTTCCTTTAAGGAGACTAGGGAAGTAGAGGTAGAACCACCTGAAAGAATAGCACTATCTTTCCCTGAGTGCTATTGCTCCTGCAGGGTATGACAAGGAGGGGAGTCTGAACAAAGGAACAAGCAGCAGCCAGCCAGGTCTTACAGGTAATGGAAAAGCTTCCCGGGGACCAAAGGAGACTCAGCAGAGTTTGCTGCAACTCAATAATTCACCTATTTGGGTAAAAACAGAGTTGGAAGCAAAAGCTTGCCTGCAGGGGCACAGCAATTGTGGACAGTTGCTTACAAACCTTTTTACTTCTATCATCTTCCCTGGTTGTGATGAGTTTTCTCTATTTAAACACATCAATTTTGTAGTTTTCATTTAAATAAATTCTGACTTTTTGGAATTGAAAACTCTCCAGTTCTTCTGGGGAGGGCTTACTAGTGGAGAAGACCCAGGCAGACACATTTTGGGATCTCCTCCCAATAACCTTGTATCCAGTTGTGTCACCTTTATTCCCATTGAAGAATACCGATCAGTAAACTTGCTGGCAATGGAATGACTCGTCCGCTCTCATCAGCTATGTTTCAAGTAGCTGCAATGAGAGATGTGGCTACTGCCACTGTGAGATAAATAGAGCCCCCGATACAGAGCTTTCTCTAAGTACATTGTTTCTACCTGCTTGCTTTTAATTAGAGATGCACTAGAGACTAGGGTCAAAGGACTTCAACATATGGTTTGCAGATCCCTGGAGAGGGACACAAAAGATAACTGTGAAAAAAACAAGGCTGTTGTCCATAGGTTGTGTTTACTAGTTAGAGGGCTGTTCCCACACTAGAAAATTTAGGGTCTTGCAAATCAGTGTGAAGAACACTGGTCTAGAAGATTTACTCTAGTAACTGCTATTTAGAAATAGGCATAGCAATTAGAAGGTGAAAATGGAAGAAATGAGCACGCATAACAGAAGTATACACTAATATCTCAACTTATTGTATAATTTACAACATAACTGTTATTATCAATACAAAGCATGAAAACATGTTGTGATTGTCCTCAAATATTTCAGTTACACAGTAACGTTTGCCAGAAGAATTTTCTGTAAACAGTTCTTTATGTAGGTTGCTAAATTTTGTTTATTTGCTGTAGAAGTAGACATTTAGCAAATACTTGAAATACTGAATCCCTGAACAAAGACCTAGTGTGTTGTTTGGCCACAGAATTACATGGATATATTTATACCTGTGACAACTGCTGACAAGATGCAAAGCTTTTCTCTAATAGCCTAATAAGATATTTTGATGCTAAAGATAATGTGGCTCCAGCTCTAAAGAGCTTCCAGCTTCTTTTTTTTGCATTGTTATGCACTTTAGTTTTCCTTTTGCCTTAAGAATCCGTGATTGGAAACCCACTTCTTGGCACAGGCAGTTTTATCAACAATGCTAATTGCAGCCTCTCAAGAGTCTATTGTCCCATACTAAAAAGCTATTTTTGCTAAATAAGTTGGTCATTTGCAGAACACAAGTTTC